GTTAAGGCACTTGGCTGCTAACCAAAAGGTTGGTGGTTTGAACCCACCAGCTGCTCTGGGGAAGAAAGATGGGACAGTCTGCTTGCTTCCATAAAGATTTATAGCCTTGGAAGCCCTTGGGGGTTGCTTGGAGTCAAAATTGACTTGATGGCAGTGAGTTGGGTCTGAGTAAAGTATTATATTAAATCAAATGTGAACCATGCTGTAATAGGAAACATTTAGCTATGGTAAACTCACATTTTCACACGTGAGGCTTCTGTTTATCAAACAAGTTACACTTGCTCTTTTTGGCTACAGGAGCTCTCATGGTGCTGTGGTTAAGGCGTTGGGCTGCTAATCAAAAAGTCAGTGGTTTGAACCCATTAGCTGCTCTGCAGAAGTAAGATGAGGCAGTCTGCTTCCCTAAAGATTTACAGCCTTAGAAACCCAATGGTGGTCGCTATGAGTTGGAATCAACTCAATGGCAGGGAGTTTGGTTTTTGGCTATTATGAGTAATGCTACTATGAACATTTACGTGCAAGTTTTTGTATGGGCATTTGTTTTTAGTTTTCTTGGATATATATGTAGGCTTAGAATTATTAAGTCATATGGTATTCTATGTTTTAACTGTTTGAGAAACTTGGAATATAAAATGGTGCAGTTGCTTTGGGAAACAGTTTGGCAAACAACCCAAATGTCCATCAACTTACAAATAAATAAAAGTGTGGCATTCCACACAATGGAGTATTATTCACCCATAGAAAAGGAAAAAAAAAAATACTGAAACATGTTACAACATGGATGAAACTCGAAAATGTTGAGTGAAAAAAGCCAGACACAAAAGGTAACATACTGTATAACTCCATTTACATGAAAAGTCCAGAACAGGCAAATCCATAGACACACAAAGTAGACTAATGGTTACCAAGTGGCTGGGAGGGACTACGGAGTGACTGATTAATGGGTATGGGGTTTCTTTTCGGGGTCATGAAACAGTTCCAAAATTATTGTTGTTGTTATGTGCCATCGAGTCACACCTGACTCATAGCGACCCCTCCTTGGGTTTCCCAGGCAGTATCACTATGGGAAGTAGATTGCCCAACCTTCCTTCCGAGGAGTGGCTAGTGAGTTTGAACCTCCAGCCTTCTGGTTAGCAATCAAGTACCTTAGGCACTACGCTACCAGCAACTCTTACAGTGGTAATGTTTGCACAACCCTGTGAATATACTAAAAACCACTCAGTTGGCTACTTTAAAAGGGTGAGTTTTAGGATATGTGGATTGTGTATCAATAAAACATAAGAAAAAATTTAAAGTATGGGATTGGACTTGGGATACTTCTTGCACACAAGAGATGGTCAAGAAAATGAATTAATAGTTTACAGTGCAATTATCCCAAAAAAACAATCTACAGTGGTATAGAATAATAAGTGGATTTTAAAAATATTTGCAAATAAACTAGAAGATCATTTGGAGGGTATCATGGTAAGGTTTTAATTTTAAACTACAAAAAAAAAGCTTTATTTGCATTTAGACAACATCACAGATTTGGATTCCATAAAGCAAATACATGGGCATAAAGGAAATAAGAATCAAGAGATAGCTTCAATGGAACAGCAAAACAATCCAACCCCTTTGCTAAGCTTTCAGAGCCTATTTTCAAGCCAGGGAAGAAAATCAACCTCATTATTTTATATATACATTGGCACTCTTAACAGCAAATACTTTGTGTTTCCAAATACAAATACAACCTTTAAAGGTGACAATCCGTCAATAGTAAGGATTTTCAAAAGACTGAATATGCCACTGATTTTACCAATTCCAAAAAAAAAAAAAATGGGTTTTGTGTAATACAGTAAGGTACAACTTTCAAATGAGCTTAGTGTAAAATGAGCACTATTGTGGATGACAAATCTGTCCCTGCCAACAAGTTTTTTTTTTTAAAGTGTGTGTCACTATTGTAGAATTCCACAACAGGATCCTTAAATAAAGGAAACATTCCTCCCTTGAATGAAGGAGGCAAATATGTGCAAATCTCAAGCTGCCTAACAAAAAAGCTCCACTTTTTATCTAGCATCTGAAAATCCCATAACCTACCTTTTCAATCACCTATGATCTACATGTATATCCCCTATGCTAAATGTAGCATAATGCCTAAGGCACTTGACTGCTAACCAGAAGGCTGGCGGCTCAAACCCACCAGCCACTCCTCGGAAGGAAGGTTGGGCATTCCTACTTTCATAGTGCAGTTACTGCCTCAGAAACCCAAGGAGGGGTGGCTATGAGTCGGGGCCGACTCGATGGCAAATAACAACCACCACCACCACCATGGACTGCAGTTTAACTGGACAGTTCATTTTTGTCCTTTTCAAGTTTTTTTGCTCCCATTTTTGCTCAAACTGTTTTTATTGCTAGAATGTCTTTATTCATCAAAATGAAGCACCTTCTTCATGAAGCCTGCCTTCATCATCTCAGAAGAAATTTCTTTCACTTCTAACCATTCCAAGCACTTGCTTGTACCACTGAATAGCACATTTTGCTTTGTACTACAACTGAGTATACTATATTTTCTCTAAGGACTAAAAGTTCCTGAAGATTAGGACAGATTCCTCAACATATTTGCTTTTCCACTGTGCCTGGTACAAGGCAGATGCTTAATACATATTTAAAAGAAGTTAAGTAAAGTACTTATCCAACTGCCTTTCACTCCTAAAAGCAGCCCTAATACAAGTAGTTAGATGGTTAGTCAGATACCCAGAAGTCCTAAATTCCTACAGACACTGAATAACCAATTCTCACTCTGGAAAGAAATCTCAAGCCACACTGTACAGCCTCACTAGGCTTTACTTAAAAAAAAAAAAAAAAAAAAAAAAAGCCCTTATTTGTTTTGAATCCTTGCCTTCTGCCTCAGCCCCCCTTCTCATCAGTGTGTGCTAGTGTTAGTGGCAAGCTAGTGTTATTTCCTAGAATTGCTCCAGCTACAAATTGGAATTAGAGGGAATTAAAGGAATTTAAAATAACTCTATGTAAGTCAAAGAGAATCATCCTGCTGCCCTTTTCCAGATAAGCTGGAGATAAACTGAAACTTTTACACCTCAACCTCCCTCACGCTGGGAAGAACTTCTGGGGCATATAGCAAGGTTGAGGAGTGCCCAAGCAATAGGTTACATCACACTAGGCAGCAGGGTAAGCCTAGATCTTCCTGGAATCTCCACTGATCATATAGCCCCAGAGGATCCCTCAACAGTCACCTAGTTACCAAATATCCATTTTGATCATAATCACTCTCTGAACCTCTTACTAACTCCCATTGCAACTCAACCTAATAATGGCATCACCATCACCACCACCCCTCTTTCTGCCCCCTCCAAAAAAAAGAACAGGAGAATTAGATTTTGGAAATGAGCAATAATTCATTTTTTAATCCAAAGATTGTTATGAATTAAATATCCATTAGAAACCAAATGACCATAAAGTATGAAGATAATCCATAAATAGAATCAGGTTAGTTGTTTAGAGTCAATTCCCTTAAGATAACAGAGGAATTACAATTGCTAGTAAGAAAAAACACAGTTGCCTTTTGGACTGTGTAAGGATCATTGCTAGCTAGCTCTTCTAAGATCTTAACACTACATTTAATTTATATAGAACTTGTCTCTTAAAGAACAGTCACACACAATGAAAGAGAAAATATGAGATTCAATTGATTTTAGTTGGGGAGACTATCAACTATATATTACTGCTCAGATTAAAACAGTGCTTCTGCACCTGAACTTTACCACCTCGAAAGTGGAAATTTGGCGTTAACAGTTTGGTTTAAGAAAACCAACTCTAACTCATATTCAATTCAAATATTTACAGAAGCATTGTGTTATTCATATTACCAAAAGGTCAGCAGTTCGAACCCACCAGCCCCTCCTCAGGGGAGAGATGAGGCAGTCTGCTTCTGTAAAGATTTACAGTCTTGGAAACCCTATGGGGCAGTTCTACTCTGTCCTACAGGATTGCTATGAATTGGAATCAACTAGATGGCAGCGGGTTTGGTCAGGGGTATTACAAAACAAAACACTTGTCATAAACGCAGCAGTAACTAACCTATTAACACTATCAAACACTGATGAAAACGGGGGCAGAGCTGGGCTTAGATTGGCAGGAGGGACATTTTAAAATATATTCACAAACAAAGTACACCAAAAAAATTGATTTATGCCTTGATCATTTACACAGCATGTTTTAAAATGTACTTTTAATCTTTGGACAACCAAAGCGGTATCATATACCTTACAGCATTGTTGCCTGTATCAATTTTGATGCTACAGTTTAAATCTGAAACAAAATTCACGTAATACCTTTTCATAATGAACCACTGCAGAAATGGAGAGATTTATATTCTCTAAGTAAAGGTTACCTTATTTTTACACTTGTTTAAAGTTTCAGTTTTGCTTTTAATCTATTACAGAAAACATCCCTTGTGGGACGTTGTAAAGGGCAGACCCTCCTGTCAAGCCAGAAGGCTCAAACACAAAGACATTGAGCTAACCAAGTGCTGTAATTCTTCCAAACTGAGCCTCCACACCCCCTCCACCCTTCCCCCCAACAGATATGTCTATTAAATCAGTGTCTGTTCTCCCCCTCGCACAACAAAGAGAACTTCTCACCGCATGAAATTGCCGCTGAATGGACACCAGAAAGCAGGATTTGCATAATTCCTTCCAACGAAACCCTGTCGGGAAGGAGGGGATGAGGGGCCCAAGCGAACGGCTAGAATCGCCCAGATTCTGTTGGGGAAGACCTGATTCTCAAGAATATTACCCAAGGGAAGGAGGGGGCTGGAATTCTGGGCCTCCCCGAGGACTGGGCGTGGGGGACGGAGGACGACGAGAGAGCACTTCCCCACAGATCAGCAGCATTGAGGCAAAGATGGGGAAATAACAATGCTGGAGGACAGGAGAGTCAGACACAAGGATGCACTGGGGCTGGGGGGCGGCGGGCGGAGCGGAGACACCACACGGGCCACTTACTTTTCGGAGGGGGGTTAAATATATGAGTTAAGCCCTTATGGTCCCGCCGGCCGCCGCACAGAGGGAAACGGGACCTTGGAAGAGAAAAACAGACAAAACACACAGTGTAAGAGGCGCAGCTCGGCCGCCCGGCCCCTCCCGGGATGCCCCCGTCCATAGTCCCTCCGGCCCGCGGGGGAAAAACAGCCACCCGTGAGCGGCCCGGTAGGCGGCGACCAGACGCGACTCTCCGAGGCTACGGCTCCGGCAAATCCCCCGGGAGGAGACAAGAGTGACCCCCGCTCCGACTCCTCCTCAGTCGGACCCGATCCCACCTTCCCTTCCTCCCAACAGCGAACACACCGAACACAAATAGACACACACACCGACCCGTGCATTGAGGATTAACTCCCCGGCCGCCGCCGCCTGCTGAGGAAGTGCAGCCGCTGCCCCCCGCGGCCATGACACCCCACTTGGCTTGGTCAGGCGGACCCCGGGCCTGTGACAGCTCCAGCTCCCTCCGCCCCCATCTCCACCTCACGCCTCGCACACGCCGGAGCTCCGGACGCCCGCCCACAGACCGCGGCGCGTGCACGCGGGAAAGGGCGCGCGCCGCCGCGCGTGGGGGAGGGGCGGCGCAGGGTGGGGAGGAAGGCGGCGGCGGGAGCGAAAGTAGGGGCTGACCTGCGGCCCAAGACGCCGCCGCCCCTCGCACCACCCCCGACCCCGCGCAAGGCTCGGCGTAACCGGCGGCAGCGCCCCGAAAAAGCGACAGCGCCGCGGCGCTGGTCTCCACAATAAACCAGCGGCTGCGCCGGGACGCCTGGCTGGGAGAAGGAGGGGCACACGCTCCAGCCTGAGAGCCTGTCCCACAGAGGACGCGCCGAGAGGAGGGGCCGGCGCGCGCGCTCCGGCCTGGATCGACAGGAGGGAGCCCCGGGGAGGTCGCGCGCCGCTCGCACTCCAGGGGGTGGGGGAGGGGGACGCCCGAGCCGAAGAGGGCGGGAGGGCCGGAGGAGCAATTGCCTCTGCTCCGGCTCCCTCCCTCATGTAGGACGGCCCGCGGCCGGGCGGCCTGAAGGCTGGGGGCGGCCAGGGTAGGGTCTCACCTACACAGTGAATGAGCTTGTGGCGCCACGAATCCAGTTCCTGCCGAAAGCCGCGTCTCTCAACGGAGCATTGCTGCCGCCTACACACCCTCGCCATCTTCTGCCGCCCGCCCGGCCCTGCCTCCGCCGCGGCCCCGCGCACGCCCAGCCGCGTCG